CCGTTCATTAGTTCTAATCAACACCACGGGGAAAAGTTACTGTCACGACTAATTAGCCAAAATGGTGCTCCTGTAATGGGAAGCAAATGAACAACAACAGTTAACTGTAGCAGGCTGCTCCGCGCCTTTATGACTCATTCCGTCTCAGCGGGAGAGACTCCTTGCAGCGCCGCCGCTCGGGATTACGTTAGCGCTCGATTACCGTTTCGAGGAAATGTGTCAAATATTACGCACGTTAACATATCTTCAAAAAGACACAGAATGGGAAATGTAAAAAGCTATTGTTGAATCTTCCACCACTTTGGGACCCCCACCCCTACCCCCCCCGCCTCCCCTCCTGCCAGGTTGCCTATTGTAAGCACCATGCGAGCTTCCCTCCGACCGCAGGCCTCAGAGGTCATGAGAAATGTTGACTTAATCCTTTTCTTCGTCCCCACACCGAGAGTCAGGGCAGGGAGTAAAACAAGAAGAAAAACAACAACAAAAAAGAAGGAACCTTTGTTGCTCCCACAGCGCAGCGAACAAAAGGGGAGGGTTCGGATTTGGGAAAAGCGTACACGCACACCACCTGCAATTAACAGCTTAGAGTCGGCGCTCTCGGCACAAAACCCCCTCCGCTGACCGAGTAGAGGAGAGGAAACGTCGAGATTAGGTGGGATGTGCTACGAGGGTGTTAGAGGGGACTTGTGAGAAAGAAGACGTTTGTCACAGAATATTACTTACAGGATGCTGGAGGACGGCCACCTCACACCCCCCGTGGAAGAGTAATTACGGAGGATTTGATAACAAGTGGCTATTGATGACGATTTAGCACTTTAACAACCTGGGTCGGAGGTTTGCGCCGCGGTCACACAGATTAAGAACAGGCCCCTGTTTGTTTGCCCATATGTTGGATCGTGTCATTAGGATTAAGACATCTGCTGAGGAAAAAAGAAGGTGTTAAGTCGTCACGAGCGGAACAAAAACACGCCGATGTGCGCCAGCTTGCACGGAAACGGATCCTTTAAATATACAATCGAATGTCTGCGAGGAAAAGTTTCTTCTGCCCAAACATTCCACTCACCTGAACTTCACTGGAAATGTCAACTTAATCAAAGCAAAATTGGGTCAAATGCACTGAGAGCAAATTAAAATCAGCCGAGAGAGATGAAATTATTGTAATTAACGGCTCTTCAATCAAGCTGGAGTGTTGGAATTTGGGATTGATGTTTTACATCTAGTCCTGAACTCCAGGGACCTTCTCAGGAGGTACGATGGGACTCGTTCCATCTTAATGGACCAATTATCCACAGAAATACACACACTTGTGGACTTTTTGGATAACTTTAATCACACTTTTTAACTTTTTTTTTTCATGTTCATTATTAACGAAAAAGATTTCTGTGAAGTCAGAAAAGCGTAATTCAAAATGAAAATATATGTGAACACATTGGCGGAATTGTCATGCAATATTCACAAATATCTTAATAATTTCCAGATATTGACAATTATTCTTGCACGATATATTGTGCAATGTATAAAAGAAGGTTTTGGTGGATATAAACAGGACTCAAAATGTAATAATGGGTTTGAATTATTTGGATATAAAGTTGGCACAACTTATTGATATGTGCATGAATCCGAATTCAAAATTTGTTGAAAATACACTTTTAACTCTGTTTTCCTACTTGAATAAAAGAAACATAACACATGTATCCTATGCAATGTTTTCACTTAGTTTCAAGATGAAGATTTTAATCTATTTTCTAATGACGAAATATCACAGTTAGAGACAACTAACATACAGATGCCCTTTATTTAATTCTTTACTCTAGGAATCATGCAAATGTCTCTACTGACCGCGGCTATCTTCTGTATTCATCCACAAAGCCGATCATTTTGTCTCATTTTGCTGCTGTGAGACTCAAAGGGGACATTATGCCCACACAGGGACGGGCAGCGGAGTCACACTATCATCTAGTTCTGTGGGTTCATGTTCATACGTGGCCTACATATATGGCCTACTGGGATTGGCCCTGCACGGCGCCTGGTCCCGGATAATTTACGAACCCACATACAAGGCCATGCTGGTAGCCCCCAGCAGCGGAGCAGCGGAGGTCCTGCGGTGGGTGGCGGCACCGGTCCCAGCAGACGCTCTGGGATGTAGATCCGAGAAAGAGGCGTAATCTGTCTCTCCGAGCCGAAATGTATCACTGATGCAAGAAAAAAAACAAAAAGATTTATGGATGGGTGAACCGCTGAATGGGGGAGATAGGGGGAGAAGCTATTACCAAGGAGGGAGGCAAAAGGTAGGATTGACCTTATCTTATTCCACGGATTTGAGTGATATTTATATGGGATGCTCTGATAACATTCAAGGCATCTGTGGTGACTTTCAATAAAGTACATCCTGCTGAAATGAGCATCCTTTTACTAACCTTGTGGTGTTCTTCCACCGGCTTCGTTCATGAACGACGGCCTGCACACGCGCAGCACCGAGGGTCCCTGCTTTGCTTGGAGAAGACGTATCAACGCCACTCGCATTCTGCCCCACGCCGGCGCTCACAGAGTGCTTTAGGTCACTCTTTCCTAATTTGGATCAATTATCCCACTTCCCTGCTCTGACACAGCGTTTCTCATTCAGCATAATGCCCGGTCTCACACTCGCGTCAGGGGGACTGAATGTTCTCTGCTGTCCGAGGCCCATCCGAAATTCAAATATTGCCTCATTGCAGAGTCTCGATAATATTGACTTTCACTTAGTCTGCAGAGGCGGCGGGGATATATTTGGAACAGGGTTGTGGGGGTTTTCTTACAGAATGTGTAATTTTTTTGATGCTGAAGGTAATGCTGGGGTCTGTAAATCCCCTGTGAATTCCAGCCAAACATCATTTCAGCCAGAGTCTAAGATGAAGCACTTGTTTTTGTTATCAATTAGACATTAATGTTTGCTAATGTGACTGCTTTTTAATTAGCACAGTTATACCTAATGTGAAAAAGCTTAAATAGATTAATGTCACACTTTACTCAATATAGCCGACATTCCTAAACTGCAACTCCTTAATGGATTAAACCCAGATTTCAATATTTATTTTGTGGTTTTATCTGCATAAACCGCATCGAGTGTCCTCAACAAGAAAGTGAAGTGGCGCCTGCAGCTGCGTCAGCGGCCCAGCAGGTGGAGCGGTACATCTCTGAGAAGTCTCTGTCATCTTCAGCGCCAATGTCCACAGAAATCCTGTTAATTTGCCAAATAATGGGGGAATATGTAGAATATTGACTGTAGTATTTCTGGTCTAATTTGTTTTATTTTATGAAATACTAATTACTGTTACTTTTAATACGTTTGTCTTTTAATGCCATTACCGGTTTGTCCAATTAACAGTGTCTCATACGTTAAATTGATTTTTTTTTAAAAGAATTACAAGAAAGAAGAATTTGCAATTCATTAATAGTTCATGTGTTTTTTTGTGTTTTTGCACGTGTTTGTTTTTACATGAACACATGCATGCTGTAAAAATGTCTTAACTTTCATCAGAGTAATTAAGACCTCTGGGGCACACCGTTGTGTAAAAGTATCATTTACCTAATTACATTAGAAAATAGAGTCATTAGTGAGATTATACAGAGCCACATAAGCGTATGACATCAACGTGTAACGTCCGCCCCAGAGACTCAGAGAGAACTCTCTGCAGGCTGCAACGTCGTAAACAACACGGCGACGCTGGTTGGGGATCGGTGGACAGGGTGTGTTCTATTCTGTTGATAAAAGCAGACATATAAAACGATAATTATATCTACTTAAACCGATTATGATGTTAGTTTGAACCACCATCACGTCTACGGTTCAAATCATATCAGAGGATCTAAAAAAAGTCAAAGTGCAAACTCACTTCATTGACAGCAATAAAAAGGAGAGTCAGCAGTTACTTATTGTTGCTTATCCAAGTAACCACAATGTTACTTAGTGTGCTAATGCAACAGTACAGAACTTTTCCCCCCAAGAATGCAGCGATAGTGCCCTGTTGTCCAAGGACACAAGCTGAATGACAACCACTTTACTACTTTGAGAGCACTGCCAGTGTTGTTGTTTTTTACACTCATCTCTCATGCTGACGAGCAACATTGGGCACGTTTGGATGTTTCCCATTGCAGGCATCCATTGGTTTCCATCCACTTCTGTGCAATCTGAAAATCTTAGTGCAGTTAATGTCTACAAAGCCACCAATGAGCAAACTCTTTCCCCCGGTGAAGACCGTGCGACACAGTCGGGAGCCAAAGGAAAGTATGCACAGAACTCACTTTGTACTGGTTTTGTCAATAAAAACCTTTCAAATCAATACGTGATTAAACTGCATCACCATGCAACAACAATATATTACTTTATAAATATGAATGCAGATTCAGGGTTCACAGACGTGTAAATCACACAAAGTGTCTGCTTGTTGATTTTTACACCCACACAAACACCTATTAAAGTTTATTCCCGACTATTTATGGTGTTACAAATTTGCAAATACTCTGGTTGTACGGTCCAACTCTTCATTCTGAACCAACGTGAAGTTCCCATTCTCCGTCCTTTTGTCCCACACCGGGCCAATACTCATTGTTAGGATGCCAGCTCGAGTCGTCAGTGTGAAATACAAAGTCCTTTAGGACTCATTCTCATGCCGGGCACAAACGGGGCCACAGAGAAAGGATTGAGGCCCCGAGAAGGGGCGCATTTGGGTCACTGCCATGAGCAGCCGTTAAAGAAGCCCTCTCATTCCACCCCCCTCCTCCACCGAGGAACAGTGCCACAGTGTTTAAATGTGCCAGACTCACAGACTAGTTGCCCTCAGGTTATTTATTAGTGTACCCTCGAGGTCGTGCGGCAATCGCCCTACATTTGGCACTAGCCTCTAAATGGCCACATCAACAGACAGATAATCTGCGAGATAAAGCAGAGCATCTTCCATGCCAGTTCAGGCGGCGTGGGAGGGTGGAAGGAGGAGGGGGGGAGGGGTTGGGTGGAGGGTTGGCCGCCAGGGAGAAGAGTATATAAAGGGGAGTCCAACGGGCATTTCGCGATCCCACGGTCTTTGCCAGTGTCTCATCCCCCCATCGGCTGCCCCTCCGGAACCCCACAGCGAGCCCGCTCCGCCATGACGTTCAACGGAACCTGGAAGGTCGACCGCAACGACAACTACGACAAGTTCATGGAGCAAATGGGTGAGTGTCGACGTGGCCTATTTCTGCGGCCTTCTGGGTCCGATTCGCCAGGGGTCAGTGCACGGAACCCGTGTCACGTGTTTGCAGGCGACCTGACACTGGGAGTGCTCAGGCCCGGAGCGGTGACGTGTTGATAAGCCGCAGGTGTTTATGGTGCCGCCCATAAGAATAGCAGCAGCAGCTAAATAAAGGTCTTTCTTTGGACTGGGGTCACGGACGAGCCGATTTGGAAAGCAGACAAGTTGCAACTTCGACTAGCCCGATTTCAGACACACGGATGCATCTTTGTTCAATCCCACAGTTGAAAGAATCCAGCCACGTGTTACCATGTGACTTCTGTTTAAGGTGTCAATATCATGAAGCGAAAGCTGGCAGAGCACGACAACCTGAAGGTCACCATCGAGCAGACCGGGGACCAGTTTCAAATCAAAGAGTCCAGCACCTTCCGCACCAAAGACATCGACTTCACTCTGGGCGTCCCGTTCGACTACAGCCTGGCCGACGGCACCGAAGTCTCAGTGAGTCAACCGAAGCGCCAACGAGGAATGGTTCACTTCAGGGAAAATTACGGCTGGTTCGCTGATTTATTCGCCGATGGGGGAAGAGTGGAAAACAAGCCAAACGCGCCAAGTCAATATGTAGAGGTGGAAAAAAAGAAGTAATACCAGGCATTTGTGCACCAACTGTGTATTTGGTTAACCAGGGTACGTGGGAGATGGAAGGTGACCTGCTGAAAGGGAAATTCACCAGGAAGGACAACAGCAAGGTCCTGACCACCACTCGAGCTCTGGTGGGAGGAGAGCTTGTACAGGTCAGTCCACCGCGACGCATTTCATCAATGATACGCAGTATGTGTGGGGGGTTTTCCACATAAGGTGACATTTTTTTACTCACCCCCCCCCCCCCCCCTCCACCTTACCCCCACCCTTAGAGCTACAACTATGAAGGAGTGGATGCCAAGAGGATCTTCAAGAAGCAGTAAACTTGAGTCTAAATTGACATTTTATTTTTATATAGAGGAAACCATGTAGATCTGTATTTGCGTTTGTATTCTAACCATGAGACATAAATCTAAATCAAGTGTGTTCCACATGTGTGGAAGATCAATGTGTGTGAGATCAATGTAAAAATGTCTGGAAAAAAGTTAAACGGCTCTAAACAAACCTAGAACCCGGTGGGCTCAACGGTGTCCGGCTTGAATCACGGCCAACTGTGATAATCCAGCATGCAGCGCGAGGGACAACGACTACTAGAGAGGAGAGAACCACAGGGGAACGAACCGCTAATGGAAACTAAGGGAAAACATCCGTCACCGCCTCAGAGTAATGTGCCTTTGGGGGGATCCCAGCAACCAGCCCACCACAAAGGGCCAAGGACTCCTGTGGCATCTAGCCGAGATTTATTTTGCCATCCTACTACAAAAGAGGAGAGCGTCATTTTGTTTTTTGTGTTCCTCCCTCCATTGAAAGATGTTGTTTTTAAAAAATTGAACACAGTGTGTCATTGATTAAATGGAACAGTGCGGTTCCAATCGAAGCCGTCCATGTGGATCGATCCGAGGCAACGGCTGCTTTGTCTCTGGAGATGCATGCTACTGTTGCCTTCTTTTTTTTTTCAACGTCATTTTCGACACTGTGAGCGATGGCAGAGGGAATTCGTCCTCCTCCACGGGGAGGACACATAAATCTCAGACACGAATACGTCAAAATCTGGGCGAAAAAATATGCATCAAAAATATTAGCATGATCAGCTGCAGAGGAATGAGACTGTTTTAAGTGTCTCCAACAACACTTAAACTTGACCTCCCGGTGCTTTTAGCCGCACCAAAACAGCCGCAAATAGTCTCACACCGGACAGTGTTAAAGGAAGCAGAGCAATAACAATCCCACACACCTTGAGATACATTGGTCGATTGGCACTGATGGTTGATTTTAAATTGTATTGCCTGTAACAATTAAAACCTTTCCATGGGTCACTTTGTCTTGTGTTGTTTTCTAAGTAGCCAGCATGTAGGTATCTTTACATGGTAAGTGCAGAATGGCTGTTTTTGATTCAGGAGAGGCAGAACTCAGCCCGACAGGCCTCCCTCCTACATGCAGTCAGCAGGGTCTTGTGCTGTCATGTGCCGGCCTTTGGGGTCAAGGGCAATGCCGATCTCTCACATGATGAAGATGACGTGGGTATTTTTTGGTGAGGGTATTTGCACTGCGCATCTCTGACCACACGAGGGCGACGTGTGTCCACTTTTACCTCAGGATCGAACCACCAGACGCTTCGGCGCATTAGTGAAAGTTGTAAATGTGAGCTCACAAACTCCAAAGCACTGAGTAGTTTTTCTTTTCCTTTGTTTTCCTATGGGACAAATGTGGTTCCACACAACCGAGTTAAGATCTACACCACAACATTTAGGAGAATACATTAACAATATGTATCGTGTATGGCAACAAAGCATTGGTGGTTCCGTGTAATGCAACATTTCAGACAAATATCATCACTACCTCACCCTCTTCAGTGTTTGTTGGATTCATAAGAAACGTTGCAAAATATGAGAACAGATCAAAAAACATCTTCCAAGCACAACTAATAAAGAGTGAAGGTACCCCTCCTTCAGAGGGCCACGTAAGCCTAGACAGGCTGAGATGACGTCTGCCGTCGATTGATCGATCGCCCCCACATCCCCCACTGGGCCCTGAGTGGCACCGTCTTTCATGGAGGTGTAACCCCACCACGTACACGGCTAATCTGCTAGAATCCCGCGCCAGAAGAAAAGTCCTCTGAGACCCCTCAGATGCTGTAAAGCTTGAGGGGTCGTGAGCCTGCAGGCTGGGTCTTCTTTGAATCTGCAGTCCAAAATAACTTTTCTTTTAATTTCAGCCACAGTTTTAAACAAGATTGTAGTTGTGTCGAGTGTTACAGCAGAGGTGCTTCGGAGGGAATCCATCCAGCTTATCTTTGCACAATCTGCTTGAATGCAGTACAGTTAATGAATAAGGGTGATTAATAAGATCACGATGTTTTTAACTCCAAGACATTGATTTTACAGTGGTAGTTACTGGTAAGTTTTCATTGGCGGAAAGTCATTTGACCCAAGTATTGTACTGCAGGGCAATCTATGATATTGTGACGGGTCGTTCTCCGCTACATTCATCTGCAGTTACATTCATCTGCATTTATACAACAAGACCCCCTCGTCATAGATTAAAGTGCCTCTCTGTACATGAAAGAAATGCTGAATTGAAAGTATAGAATGGCCTCTTTACTTTTACGGAAATAAATGATGTGAACACTGTTCTCCCGGCGTAGATTTTTGTTCAAACTATCATTTGTACAACAGTTGAAGCGTTTTGAATGAAGACTCTTTACTTACAATGGTACATGGTACACTGTGGTAATGCTACTTTTACCAAAGCAAAGGATGGAAAAACTTAGCACTGATTATGTGAGCCGTGTGTGTGTGTGTGTGTGTGTGTGTGTGTGTGTGCGTGTAGTCGCCATCAATCCTGTGATGTGCTTTCATAACCATCTGGTGGCGCTGTGGGGCCCTTTATCATCTGAGAGAAAGGGCCTTTGGTTGTTCTATGATGTCATCCTCGGTCAAGTTATCCTACGCAACACACCCTGTTTGTACAGGCACACACACACACACACACACACACACACACCATCTATTCTCCGATTATTAAAACAATATCTCCATGTACGAATCCAAAGAGTCGACCGAGGGCAACACGGAATCAGCGAGAAGCTGCAACGTTGTGGGAGCGTCGGCCCTCAGTGCTTTGATTGCTGTGAGACCGAGGGATCGGGGGCCCACTCGGGGGAGATGAAAGCTGGGAGAGGAGGAGGAGGAGGAGGAGAAAAGACAGTTAGAGGTGGACAGAAAAGAGACACACAGAGAGAGAGAGAGAGAGAACAAGGGGATCGGAGAGAGGACAGTCCCCCCTTCCTCACCCCCCCTCACGCACACCTGCTGTGAAATCAAATCCACTGACTCACTCTGAAGTCGTCAGCTCATCTGAAAGTGTAACGACGACAAAAGGCGGTGTGGTGGGGAGTGTCGGGGGGGCTTTTGGTTGGAGGAGGCTTTCCGGGAAGACAAAAAAAAAAAAAAACCTTCGGCCAATCAGAGTTCAGACAGTGACTGCGCAGACAAATGATGAGTCATCAGTTAGTCAGGGTCGGATTCTGTGTCCGAACCTCTTCAATCGCCTTGAAACGTGGACTTGTATTAGATAGTGTCGATGTATCATGGGTAGAGCAACCGAGGTGCGAGATCCCAGACTGAGAGCCTTTACAATTGTTTCTCAGTGGTTTAAATCTGCGGTTTGACCGTCAGTCAAAGCCTCACCTTGAATAACGTGACCCCCGGGAGGCCGAGGCCCTTTGGCTCTGAAAACAATGGAAAAGGGGAAATCACGGATTGTTTACACTGCTTACAGGTCCTAAACATCACACAAAAAGTACACATAGTTCTAGTGTTTCCCAACCAGGGCGCTAAACGAAGCATGTCCGCACACTCTCCGGGCCTGTCCGATGGCACACCATGTGCCCATTACGGTAAGCGGCGGTCAATGTTTCACAGCAGTCCAACGCGGGCAAAGGCTGCAGTCAGGCACGCCGCAGCCGGAATGAGGGTGGGTGAAACGGGACAGAAACACCTCTTTAATGGACTCGTCTGAGGGAGTAACGCTATTACAGAGTGTTGCCCGCGTATGCATTGCATTCATGCACCCAGATGAGCGTGTCCCCTTTGACCCCCCTCCCCCGACGCACGCTCACACAGGCGCTTTTATCCCCCGCTTCACTCCACTGTGACACCCTGTGTGTGCATCGTGTGAGAAGCTGCTGCGTGCCACCTGGTGTGACTGAGCAGACAGGAAGAGAGCGGCGGACAGCGAAGACGGGAGCTAAATTGGCTGCGGCCTGCGTCTCTGGAGCCGCCGTGCTCCCGGGTTGGGCAGCGCTATTCTTGTAGAGGCCAGCGAGAGGGCTCCATCTCCCCTGGCACAAAAACCACTTTATAGGATCCCACATCGTGTTTTGATGTGGTAGTGGGGGGAGGGGGGTGGGGGAGGGGGGGTGTCATCCAACGGCAGGTGTGAAGAGGAGCTGGACGCAGGCGGGTTTCTTTGTGGCCAACAACAACTCCTAAGCGGTTAAAATGTGAAAAATCATCAGAACAAAAATACGAATTATCTTTTTTGAATAAATGACTTAGTGATGCAAAGAAGTGAAGATTTTTTCACATTTAATAAGTTGATAACATCAAATCTTACCGATTCCTCTTTGAGTATTTATGTAACTGATAACGTATTTGATGATGTGATGATTTATGTTTTTGGCTCATTGTGTATTTGAATTATGTGAACGCATCACAATCACATTCACGGAGATGAAATAAGGGAGTCACGACTGCGGGGATGACGTCAATCTTTAATGGCAGATGGCCGGAAATGTCTTCATTTAACATTTTCATAAAAACTCATTTGATCACTTTTTTTGGGGGGTTTCAAACAAACAAACCTCTGCAATTCACTGAAATACAGTTCCTCCTTACAGCGGCTAAAGTACATAAATATCAACAGTACTGTATGCGATAAGGAAAAGAAAAGAAGAACACACACATGCCGTGAACATGCACAGAACACACAGTTACGCACAGGGTACACTGAAACTGTTGACAAAGGGTGGGATCATCATATTCATTTCCAGGAACTTCTGTACCGTACTGCTGGCGAAACACAAAATGATCCATTCGTTCGAGGTTTTTCTCTAGATTTCACAGTGAATTATGCAGGTAAAACAGTATTCATATATCAGATACAAACACACAAAAGAAGCTCTAGAAAACCGCCAAAATTAATATACAATTAAACGTACAATAATACTTACAATGAATTATATGGTGGGCATCTTCTAACTTTAAAAACATGATACCCATAAAAACACACACACGCCCACACGCACACGCACACACACACACACACACATCTTATAAATACTTGTTCTAATAAATTTGGTGCCACACTTGGCTTTAAAAAAATGTCTGTAAAGCAGAAACTGCTCCAGAAAATCAGTTGACATGATGTGCATATTATTATTATTATTATTCATTACAAACACTGACTATATGATTTCACCACTCCAATATGATTGTACACACCTGGGCTAAACTTTGCGGGGGAAGATTGTATTTCTTGTGGTTTTTCTGTTTTTGATCGTCACGTCACTGAAGTGTGACTTGGCCTCATCAGAAAAGTACAAGAGTCACTGTTTGTTTTTCGTAAAAATGCGACATAAATGGTGGTTTTGGCGTCAAAATCGTCAGAGGAATGAGATCACTCGATGATATGTCAAACAGCAAAGACGTTATTGCAGGCCCAGAATACACACGATTACAAAAGTTTTTAGTTTTTTTTTTTAACACTCCCAATCTTCAGTAAATTTACGAAAGCAAGATGATTCGCGTTGGCTCCCTAAAAATAGACAAAAGAGACAAATTGCTTAAAGTGAACATCCTTTCAGGTGCAGAGTGGCTCTTTTGGAGTGACACCAAAAGAGACATGCAGCAAAAACAAAGTCGTACTTCATAAGAAATCAGACTGAGGACTACAAAGCAGTCAAAAACGGAATAATTCCACTAGCCTAGATAGCTCTCCAGTGTAAAAGAAAAATGCCTTTGGTCTTTTGTTTCTCCGTACTGTGCCGCTGTCCTCCCGCTAGACAAGAGAAGGAGCAAATTCCTTATTTTAGCAGGGCTCAGTTCGCGGTGTTTTGCAGTCTCTGGTGTAGCTCTACTTTCACAGCGATGCCTCGTTGCTGTCGCTGCCTCTCTCAACACATCTGATTACCTCCGCCGAAGCTGACGGGCGAGATCAGGTGTGTTTCTCTCTCACGACGATTTCAGACAAAGGACCAATATGTTTGCTTCGTGAGGTGAAGACACCACGCAAAGACGCACACCAGCGACCCTAAAAGCCCACGGTACGTAGAACAGACAAGAGAAAACCCACAGGACTGCTTTGGCACAGCAGGGGCGACTTTATAATGGCAAAAAAAACAGGAAGCATTGAAAAGAAAAAAGAATTATAAAGTGTGAGAGCTCCTCACACGCTTCGTCACAACACGAACCGATCGAACAGAACCATTTCAAACAGTCTCGATTACAAAAATACCTTTTTGTATTTCTTTAAAATATCTAGAAATGTACAGCGTTGCTTGTTTTTTTTTTCTTCTCACTTTTCTTTTTTGCAAAGTCATGCTTCAACATGTATCTAATAGTCATAATAACATTAATATGAACGATATACAGAATAGTAATAATTATAGTCGTATAATAACATTACCCGGCGGCGCTCCGGAACACCACCTCTGTACGCCGCGCGAAACGTGCCGGCGCCGCCCTCGCGGCCGCAATGAACACGTGCGCAGCGAGAGGCCTTGGCGGCTTTGTCGCGCACGCCCCGCTACCTTTCACGGAGGTGTCGTAGGAGGTGTAGCCAAAGCGCTGCCGGTAAATCATGAGTATGTAACAGTATAAAAAAAAGGAGTTGGGAGGACTTGGGGGGGACAAGAGGGGGGGGGGGCTCGATGTGTGATGGAGGCTGGGGTCTAGAATGTCCTGAGGCTGCTGCTGCCTAAGAGAGAGAGAGAGAGAGAGAGAGAGAGAGACAAGGAAAGGAGTGAGGTTGCCATGGTCACCGCACACGAAACCTCGTCCTCGTCTAATGAAAACACGGGGGACGGCGCGACACAAACACATTCGCACACCCGTAAAAATCACACGCCGCCACAAAGACTGACGCGCGCGCACTTTTTAGATAAAAAGTCGCCGCGCTGTCAATATGGCTCTCTGCTGCTGTGTTTTCCAGCAGATGTCTCTGGCAGCGCTCATACAACCCCACCCCTTCCCCCCACCCACCAAATCAAGAAATTAAATAACAAACCCGGGACATTTGTCAGTTGTTTCACATCCGACCCCCGAAATCCGAGGCGAGATTTACACCTTTTGTCAATGTGGCCACAAAGTCCCGAGGCCGCGAACTCACCGACGGTACGCTGCTCCGCGGGCTGCAGTCGGGTCAGTCACCCGTGGGTTCTAATTGGACACGAGAGGCGATCGGCAACGCCCGTCACAGCCGGCCACGGCCACCATCACACATCAGGAACCTGAGGACACAAACGAAGGCCGAGTTTGACCAGAGTCCTGACCGATAGCACGCGGGGGGTCTTGTTCCGGCTGTCGATTCAACGTGGATTCCTCGGTGTTATTGCTGTTTGACCGCGATGTGTCGAAGACTTTTGAAGGCAACTTATGGCTGAAGTACAGCTGTGTGTAGCTTGAAAGGGACACCAATTTGTGATTACAAAAGACAGAGAAAGGAAATGAACGTTCAGTATCATGATGTTCAGTCTCCAGAAATACTGGAGGACACAAAGCAACTGGAGCTTGTATGAGATGCTCTCGGCCACACCTTTTAAACCTCACCCACACACACAGTTTTGTAATGCAACCTTTCTGTAAAGGTTTAGATCACTCGAGTGACGTCTCTAAAGCAATTTTCTCAGACTCAACAAATGGAACAAAGCTCCTACGCAGCCACGGCAGACCCTGTTAAACTCTTTCCTCAGGATGTGGGGCACACACTCTGACCAGGGGACCGACCCTTTAAAGAGGCCGAGCCTGTCGAGCTCCAAGTCCAACTGTGGCAAACAGGATGTTGGCTGACAATGGTCTTAAATACTTATGTTCAACTGCTGCCTAACAACCATGTCTCCTATGATCCCTTTCCAACAAAACTCCCCCATCTGCAACACCGGCAGACCGAAGAGAAAGGCCAACCTTCCGACAACCCCCCCCCCCCCCCCCCCACCGGATGTATCACCAAAAATAGACATGTCTCGGAGGCCGGGGCGACTCGGGTTGGGGAAGAAGGGGGACTCTTTGGAACAATAAACCATCAGTATACCAAACATGACCTTAAGAGAAAGAAACGGTGGAGAGGCGGTCGAGTTGGGAACTGTTCCCCGATCGGAGCGTGCTGCGTTAACGGGGGCACGGCTGGCCTAGCTAATGCCCTGTTGCGCGTTCAATCAAGGATGAGGGGAATCGATGCGCCGTACAGCCGCTTGGCTAAGCTGATGCAACGCATACTTCCAGACCCCCCCCACCCTCCCACCCCCCTATTTGTTCTGGCTGAGACACCAAGGTTAAAGATTGGGTTGATCATTGAACATGTCTGGGCGGATTAGGGAACGGTTTAGTGATTCGCGAGCTTAATATGTTACATTCAATAAGTCAGGCCCGGGCGCATAATGTGAGATAGGTAAACACGTAGTGTTTGACAATGTGGGAAGGGACTGGGTTTGCAGTAAATGTGTCCTTTGTTTCCTCTTTTTTTCCAGCCAGGCTTCAGGTGGCAAGTGTTCCTGTGTCTGTTATCGGTGCTCATTGATCTGGTGCTGCGAAGGAAGAGCGAGAATATAGAACCAACACCGACTCTGGTTGTCTGTAGTCTGCAATCAATGAGGAAAAAAAAAACAGTTTCCAAGTTGTGAAAACCACTCTGGATGGTATTTGTCTTTTCTATCTAATCCTGCCACAGATGTGTTTTAATCTCTCATCTTCATTACCGGGAGCCCATGTTCGAGAACGCTGTGTGAAAATGTAAAGTGCTCTCAATTTCTAACTCATTAGCCTAAAACTTTTCACTAACACCCGTATGGCCCTTTAAGATCTCTACCTGCGCAGTGCGGCCCACGAAGAAGAGGCGCGTCTGAAGCCCCTTTAATCCGGAGAAAAGCCTTTAGGCCCCGGCTGTGTTTCTCACATACCAGCAATCGCTGCTGGAGCTGGGCGGTGATGAATGCAGCTGCTGACATGTATCTAGGTCTGAGACCCGGTGCAGGGACAAGGCCACGCTGTTGCTATTACGTATGTGTGTGTGTGCGTCAGTAGGGGGTGAAGGAATAAAGTACCACTTCCTTATTAGAAGGGGCCCCAGCTGGTCCTCAGCTCTCCAGTGGGAGTTAGTCCAACTTTGTACAGGAACCATTGGTTTTGTCGGGCTATTGGCCAAAAATCTCCTGAGGGCAGGCAGCCGGACACACACACACACACACACACACACACACATGTCTCTCTCGGGCTAACACACAAGCATGCATGATACTCACCGCACTCCCCCAGCATGTCACATCAGATGGAAAATCCGGATTACCTTTGCCTGCAGTTCACTAGGCATTAATGTCCACTATTAGGGTTGTCTTTGGATCCAGCTCTGTGCCGGAGCATGAACGTCAAATAGAATTCCGCTTCACAAGTAGTCAGACGAACGACCGGCCGAGGCCTCCCGGGGTCGCACAGCAACAGAGAAACCCGCAATGGAAATCACTGAGTCATCACAGTTTAGATACCAGCTCCCGATTGAATGATCAAGAGCTGAACATAAACTTTGACATCCTTTGACAGCAGGGATGCCAGGTGATTAGGACAACTCGTCACCCGCGACGACTAGAAAGACCCCCGGACACTTCCTCACTTTCAGCTGCTCACACACACACACACACGCGCGCATGCATTCATGTCTGCCACGGTTAGACTTCCGAAGGCGCGCGGCGTTCTCTGACACACGTCCTTCGAATGCCGAGACAACCACCGAGCGACCACATTGCGAATGCCCACCGACGCGCTCATCAGCGTGAGCAACAGTTCACAGGCGCCGGCTCTCTTCTAAGGCACATGGCCGAGTCACGGCGGACGGATTGTACAGGTGCATTCTTGTTGTGTTGCAGGAAACAACAAGAAGCTAAAATTCTCGGGCCGATCGCAGCGCGCGAATACGTAACCCTATCCCACATCGACACATCGAGTAACTGTGTTTCTAACTCGACTGTGGCCGTTGTGCAGAGCAGAAGGGGCCAAGAAAAACACAAGCTGTTTGTTTGCAGAGCTGCAAAATATCAGGGACGGACAGAGCAGCGGGGCCAACTCAACACTGACAGTTGACCTTCCTTCTTCCTGTATTATGGTTCCCATACTGATATATATATATATATATATATGTATATATATATATATATATATATATATATATATATATATATATATGTATTATTTACTTTTATATAATGCCACGGTGTGATTCTGCCATGATTAGATCCATATTTTCTTACTTACCTATAGTGATACCTCATCACTTGTTCCTGTGTAGTTATGGATGAACTCAGGTCGGTCTCTGGGATTTATTTTGTACGACCGAAACCCTTTTGATTGTGCGCGTGTTCTTGCGTATATTTGCCCGGGCATGTACGCATGCACACCACGCAATTTGAGTGTGTTGCTTATGTGTACACCTGCTGCGGTGGCCTGTGATTATCACAACATTCTGCCTGGATGTTGTAGCTTCACTACACCCTCTGCTGAGAGGCGGATGTGGGCATGTTGTTGTTTCATCGCGGAGCTAATATCCACTGGGGCAGCCTGACCGGCCAAATGACTTCCTCCCTGTTTGATGGAGCAGTAATTATTTCCTCAAAGCCCCTCCCACCTCCACTCCCTTCCTCCTTTTACCCCCACGATAAAGACAAAGTGTGTTTTTTTTTCTGTTCTCATGTAGTTTGTTTAGTGTTTGGGAACAGATAAGTGGGCGAGGATGCAGGGTTACAGAGGGACTACGGGACTAGCAGCAATCAACGGCTTGATGAATGTGGGCCTCCACCCCAGCCACCCACTCCTCAGCGACTCCCCGAGGGGTCGGGAGAACATGTTTCTTCCTGTCCCGAGAGTTAGAGGGAGGTTACTGGGGACAGCGTGACTGGCGCCGAGTGCAAACGCACACACCACACACAGACACACACAGAGAAACACACACAGACCCAGTCAGCCAACAGAGAAACACAGACTAGCAGGGGATTTGTTGTGCTTTCTGGGTTTGTTTTTCCTACAAGCACAACAGCGTTCGGTGTGTCCGAGGCAGATGAGCGAGGCGCACATGCTGCGTAGCTCATGCGTGGCTACGGTGGCCTCATATGCTTATCTAAGCACTTATTAGAATCCAACTTCTCTGTTTCCTGTCTGCAGCGCCACTGAAATGAATTCATCTGCGATTTATTTTAAATCCATCCCTGTGGTAATCATTTTTTAATAAAGATTCATAATAACTGCCCTTCCGGCAATACCCAAGTACCTCAGCAGATCGCGGTGCATGTTCCACATTTACGACCATCCATGCTTTATAATTCTCCACTGTGCACTTTGTTGTAATGCGAAAAAATGACCAAAAAGCTTTTATGAATTAAAAGTTGTATTTCATCCAGCCAGGGTCTGACAACATGACAAACATTCCCTAATATATGTTGTGCACCGGGCAAACATCATCGTAGGACAACAGTTCATTCTTTATGTGTGCACTATAATACACCGTCCCTCACACACAAGTGCAATGAATACGAGGCGTATTTCCAGAAGGGAGATCTGTGGAACCATGAAGTTCCCTCTAATCCTCCACAGAAAACCCTGAGCATGTACAGTATGATCCTAATAAAAAAGCAATTCAGTGTAAGAAGAGGATTTTGTTGGAAAATCATTAAGACGCATAATCAGTTCATTATAAGTGGTGGAAGAAATATTCAGACCCTCCATTTAAAACTGCCCTTATCAATATCTTTAGATTAGCGACGGATTAAATGGCGTACAAGGTGAAAGGGCGAGTGACTTTGACCACTGGTTATAAAATGACCTATCAAAGCCACTAATATGAGCATTTTAGCCCGCCTGTTTTGTTTTTTTTCAAATGTCGCCATATGAGAATCATATATTCTGTTTGACTTCCTACCTTTGATGGCTGGGATCAAGCATCACACCGCCGCCCTCTGTGGCCTTTGTGAGATAGCGCTCCCCGCTAAATCGCGTCTCTCACGTCTTGCGATGATGTGCGAATACTCGCCGTGGCTCCTTTACTCTCACATTTACTCCTAAAAGGCTTGTTTGTTTTGCGGCACGCGGAGATGTGACTAATCACTTGGTTAGTTTGGCAGTAGGCCGGACGGAGGGCTGTCGTGGGGGGTTTGAGCGTAAGCAGAGGGGGGGGGGGGCGCTTACTCGACGAACACGCTACACGCACACGGAACACACTCTTTGATATTCCCCGACATATGTTTAGAAATACCTCCGTGCCTGTTTAAATCAAGTGTCATAACATTTACTAAAGGTTTTTCACAGCGCAACTCACACTTCTTGGTCAATCTAGAGCCGCTTGTGTACGTCTGTGTGCGTGTGCATGTGTGTGTGTATGTGTGTGTTACTCACACATACTTCAGCAGAACTGCCTGGACTTCCATCCCTGAGGAGTTCCATCTGCAGGTGGGAGCCAGCGAATCTAAACACACGCACATGAATACACACACATATACAAATATATGAGTCTATACAACGTACATTTACACAATCGTTGAATTAATGTTCAATTCAGTTTAGTAATAGTAATAGTTTTCTGTCACTTAAAATGTTATTCCCGCCACCCACCCACCAATATAAGGCTATTGCCAGCTGCTGGTTAGCCTAGCTTAGCATAGACTGGCGGCAAAAGCTATCGAAATCCAGCTGCAAGCACCTGTAAAGATGCATAATTAGCTCCTTTTATTTTCTATGTTTATTCCAAAGGATAAAAAAGTGGTAGTGGTATTACGGGGTGGTGGCAAATTCGAGGCCTGACAATCTCACAGCTCCCCCAGTTTCCACAATCTTTATTCCAGGCTAAGCAATCGGCTCAGCTTAACATAGAGTCGTAAGAGTATAACAAGAAAGCAAATAAGCCTAATTGCCATAAAAAAATCCCTAAACTCATCAAGCTTTTTAGTCAATCTTTGTCATTCGGTGGATTTTTTTACGTAAGCATGTTTCATGGGTTACATGAAACAGCTAAAATGTATGAGCAATCCAATTACATTACTGTGCTAAAAAAGATGACAACGGCTGATAAACCAGGGAGCCATAAAAAGCTGAGCCCGTTACCACAAATTAGTGTGTGTGTGTGTGTGTGTGTGTGTGTGTGTGTGTGTGTGTGTGTGTGTGTACCGTAAGAGTGTTTATTATACATATATTTATGTCTCCCATCCGTATCTCCTCAAGGTTGGAAAGGGTGGTGAGATGCGAACATTACTCACGAGCCCTTCTTGAAAGCCAGATTCCCGTTGTGTTTGTCAGCTCACATAGTATACGCATGTAGAATTATGCCAACTGGGCAGATTCACCTCGCACTTATTTCAAATTCTGACATCATCTGCTTTAGTGTCTTTGCTAGCGGGCTTTATACCTAACTCACCTTAGCATCTTAACTATGTACGGAATCTATAGACCCTCTGGTAGAGATAAAAGAAGTGAATAACCCAGAGACTGTTACTAGTGAGAAATCATTGCAAGCTTCAAAAAGACAATCGACAAACAAGTATTCAGAAACGGTACATCTAATGCTGAGATCTTAACAGGGTCAGGCAGCTTCAAACGTGCTCCATGAGAGATCAATAAAGAACTCTTATTTGAACCCGCAGTGGAACAGTGCGGCTTAGAAAGCCTCAATAAACTAGAACATTGTTGGTCGGAAAGGGGGGGATTCGATTGATGGGAGTCTGTGATGGTCAAAAGTCAATGCAAACATTTGAAACCAGTGAACCTTCTAGTTGTACTGATGATGCCGCTGATGGGGATTAATAAAGTCACATGGTATGAGTTTGAGTGAACGGTCAAAAATGGACTATAATCATGCACATCAAATATTTATGAAGTCAATTTATTGTGTATCAATAAACCGATAAATCAAAGTTTCAAATTCCTGCTTCTATGATATTTCAGAACGGGCAGTTTTTAAGATATCATTAGATTATGATCATGGACGTAAGAGAAAAAAAGTTCTCCAAAACCAAAACTACCCCCGTTGCCTGCAAAACAACACACATTTAACCAGCAGCAGAAGAGCTGGAGAACTAATCAGGAAATGTGCAAAATGCACAGACTGGGTGGTGCCCCGAGGTACATCTGTGGAATGGAGAAGAGAGAGATTTCAGGGCTCTGGGCGGTGGACTCAGGCAGAAGTGAGGGGCGGCGGTCGAGGTGGTGCTGGTGCTGGTGGAGGTGGTGGTGGTGGTGGAGGAGGAGCGGACAGGTTCGCAGGTTACCTGAGCGTGGAGCGAGGAGGGGTAGGTGAAAGCGGGCGGGAGGGCCGGTGACAGCTCCGCCGGGTACAGCGGGTATGACGCCCACACGTCTGGGCTGCTGGGATATAGAGCGGGCACTGTGAGCTCATCTGTGGAAAGAAGAAGAAGACGAGGAGTGGAGTGAGGAGGGTGGCCCGTGGACGGGTGGGTGGCTAAAGAGACGGCGTGGAGGCGACGGCGGTGAAACGTGGTTGCGAAGGTGGAGTACAAGGGCAGCATGAGTTTTCTGAAGAAGCTTCCTCTCATTTCTTATGGATTCAAATATGTGCTGGTCTGCTCAAGCCTGAGCCACATTGGAGAGAGATGTTCATCCATTAGCACCTACAATAGCAACCCTGCTAGTGGAGTTGGGGCATTATTGGCGGCTCTAAACTGCTTTTCATTGGATTCATACATCATACACTCCAGCGACCCTACACAGCTTTGCCTTTTCTTATTACATACAGTTTGAAATGTTTTCTTATGCTAGTAATGGTATCAGGATTATTTATCTGTAAGCTGCAGTACACGAACAACGCCTTTCATTAATGTAGCGTTAGATTACGTGTCTACTAAGGCTGCATGAACATGATGCGTGAGCATGATCAGTGGGTCTAGCACAATATCTTGCCAAAAAAGCTCGCGTGTAGCATCAACTGCATATCTCAAATCCTTTTTACCCCAATTCCTGTTTTAAAATCTGTCAGCTGGAAAAATTGCTAAATCAGTCGGAGATAACCAAGGCATGAAACTTACATTGGCTTGATTATCTATTTAGCTTCAGCTCTGACAATTGTTGTTTTTCTCCGCTTGAAATCATAGGCACACTATTTCAAAACTATTTCAAGTGGTAAATCTGTCACTATTGTTATTATTCTAAAGCTGCATATGTCCCGGGTGAGAAGGGAAAGATTAACAGGCTTGGCAAAACTCTCTAAGAGAGGGCAGGGACTACCAAACAGTCTATTACACTCCCTTTAAATCTAAGACACTTCATTCTGGATAAAATGAGAGGAAACCATCCCAGATGTGACAAGTTACTTGAGTTGAATGTGAAGTGAAAAATGGTGCACAAGTGAGGAGATGGGTGACAGCGCAGAGTGGTGCAGAGTAAGCGTACATTTAAAATGCAAAATCAGAAGAAGAAGCAGCTTGTGGGAGCGCCATCGTATAACCGTCCGATCCGAAGGAGCCTCTTCCCCCGAGCTCAGTGTTAATCGCAGCATGATCAGAAAACTGCCTGATATAAACATCTCCTATCAGGAAATGACAGCAATTTGTCTCATGGTGATTACGTCACGGTTTCATTAATCGTTTCCTTCCATTTTCCACTGAGGCCCTAAGTACACACCCTTTCTCTGGCAAAAAAAAAGAGATCCAAGATAAGAGTGGTCTGGTCATTTAGGAGGAATGTTCAGCCGCAGCTGGCCCCCCCTGTTCAACAATCAATGGTGGATTCTTGCAGAATCCTTGACCACTGTGGAAAATATTTAACTAAATGGAGATTTTTTTTTTTTAAGTGAACAGAGCTGCAATTGAATCTTCTACACACACCTGATACTCAAAGGCAATGATTCCAAATAATGAGAGCTATGGCTAACAGTGAACGTGAACGGTTTAGGAGTCGTTAATGCAAGAAGTAATGACGGGGTCTAATGGTAATCAAACAAGATTTCAAACACACATTTTATCATCAGGAATCGGGAATGATACAATCGAGGTGACAGGTGACTGAGAGAAACGCTATTGACCCGATTCTCAAAAATGTCAGTGTTTTGAGGGATAAAACACTCGATCCAATCCAGAGTCAATCTTCATTTTGCCCTGATAGTCACGGCTGAAGCTCAAATTCTCTACCAATGACAAATAATGGGTAACAGCTGTCCAGTCGCCTCCAACCGCAGCAACTAACGGCCAAAGGGAGCGTCCACACCGACCAAGAGGAAAGAGGAGAAATGCTCAGAGTACTCACATGGGTCTCGGCTAATGAACTGCGGCCCGGGGCTCTGCTGGGAGGGGAGGGGGTTGGGGGTGCCAACCAGCTTGTTCTTGGCCATCTTGGTGTTGGCTTTGGCGAACTCCAGCCGAAGGGTCTGAGGGATCTCCGGATCAAACCGGACCCCCTGAGATCAGACGAAGAGATGTGTAAGCATAAATATTGTTTCTTAGCCGGCTTTGAAGTAGAAAGGAAGAGATGGACTGGTAGATTGAAAAGTGGAATTATCATAAGGACTCAGTCAGCATTAGACTTTTTTACTTATGTTTTTTACTATATAACTTACAAAAAAGCTAATGTCAGGTCTATAATCATAGTATAATTGCAAAATGTTCATTGCAGATTTTATTTGGTATTCCAATTGATACATTTGATAATTATTAATAATTCTATCGCTTTTAAATGCTGATCAAAGTTAGTGTGGAGACCAATTTCCTGCAAGGGTTAACAACACGTCTATCAATTGGTTATTGGATACCCCGTGTTTTCCTGGACAAATCTCAAACTCATCATCATCTCTTACTCAATGCGGACGCTTGTTGAATAATTAGCAACAGTTTCCATTAAACAAACTGTTCCTTAAACAGAAAGATGAAACATTGGCGATGCGACAGAGAGAGCGACTGCTAGACTTGATAGTTTTGTGCCTTAGAATAGGGATGAAGCAGCCTAATTCAAACCACATGGATACAGTTCTAATGACCTCTCACTCTCAGCCTCGTTGTGTTTTAGATCTCCGTTGGGACCTGGCTGATACCTGGAAATGACACGTTGCATCGTTTCATCTATCAGCATTTCTTAACCAAAGGGTATCGTCTAAATCGCAGGAGACATTTTCGGTGGCTGAGACGCCGGAGCTCGCTGCTGCGGAAGGACGTAACGCCCACTTTAAAAAAAATCCAAACTTGATGACTCAAGGCCACGACGCCCTCCTTCTTCCCTCCCCGCTGAACCCTGTAGCTGTAACTTAATCTCATGTTATCAAATCCGCCTATCGCCGTGACATATCGCCAGCATCACCGCCCCAAACATTTCTGCCAACCAATTCTGCCAAATTCTTGAGATGCCACTGCTAAAAGCCTTTAGATATATACCAGCGTGACAAGCCAAGCAACGGTTGCTCTCCCTCCCTTGCCAGCTGATCCCCACATGTGCGGCGGTCCAAATCATTTTTCTTAGAAAAAGTGACATAAACAAAAGGTTCTTCTTCATCCACGCACAAAGGAACCATTTGTTCGGCCCGCTCTGGAAGCAGCCAGGCTTGCAAGGACTCCACCAGCAACTATGAGCCCGCCTCTAATTCACCTTATTAGATTGTGTGTAGTTGAAACACATAATAAAAGCACGGACGGTCCAATTCAACGCGAACGAGAGCGAAGTTCCCCGCAGCTAAAGAGCCAGAGAGAGAGGCGGGTTTTCTCGGCTTGTCCCTGCAGGCTCGGGCAACGCTGAGCAGAAACAAGCGAGGGGATGACTCTTCTCATGAAGGGGAGGGAATTAACTGGGATTGCCTTGGCTCAGTGCGCTCCGGGCTTCTGCCGGTCGAGGCTACAGAGGTATAATAAGGTACACGGGTTTAATGAGGCCTGAGCGCATCTCGGATCTCTACCTTAAAATGGGTCTTAGGGCGTCTTAAGCGCCTCTGCGGGCTTCGTTTTCGGCGACGAGGGCAGTCGTCGCACAGGTGTCGTTGGGAGGAATCAAGTCGTTTGTATGAAAGATGCCGGTCCTGCTTTGACAGGAAACAAGTCCCGTTCCTTCCCTGCGTCTTTTACACATTTCAATATGCAGATAGATGTTGGCTTATCTCCATATGACCCCCCGGGATGCAGCTTTCCCCCGAAAAACAAGAGCACTGTTCAATTCTCAGCACTCGCTGAGCGATTCAGTGGAAACAGTCTGACTATTGTTGGCTCGTAATAGGATGATCATTTTTTAGACTTCCTTCAAGTCCCTGCTTTGCCTTTGACGCGCTCCAAAAAAACTCACTGAAAGTTGACTAGACTCTACCGCGTTGTCACGGTTGCACTTTAGCTAGACGATAAACGATAAATCTTGTTGTTTTTTTGTGGGAAAATAAAGTAGTGTAAGAGCTGGTGTTCATTACTGTCTGTCTGTGCTTTGTTTCAACAGAGCGGAGTAAAACCCTGTGAGGACGGACTCTCTTCCACATTCTGCCTCGTCGAGGCTTTTCTACTGAGCTACATTCTGAAATAAGTCAGATTAAGATTAAACCCTGGATCAATAAATGCTATGTATATGAAGAAGAAGAAGCTAATGGTCCTCCCGACCTTGCAGCATCTACAGCAAAGCTTTAAGAAAAATAGCCTTTATTTGCTCGACCCGTAACACTCGGGAGCTGCCACGAGATGTTGGTTCTCCACCGCCGTTTCTGCCTTTCTGCACGTGATGGGCAAAAGGCAGGAACGTCCGGATTTCCCCGATTACCAGATGCATTTGCACAGCGGGCAGAGAGAGAGAGAGAGAGAGAGAGAGAGAGAGAGAGAGAGGCAATTTCAAGTCATCACAAGATAGGCCTGCGCCGAGCTGGAGCGCGAGGAGGGCATGACACTTACGTTCAAGGCATTCTTAGCAGCCTCCGCCTCTGATCGACTGTCAAAGCTGACAAACCCCACCGGCTGGGGAGACAAGAAGACAGAACAAAAGAAAGAAACATGGTTTAAGGCAGGAAAACTGAGTCGGCATTTCTGCCTGAGTGACATGGACATGTTTTTCTTTTTCTTTTTCTTATTTATTATTTTTTTATATCCTACCCAACCCCCTGTGTCTCTCTCTCTCTCTCTCTCTCTCTCTCATCCTGTTTATGAAACCGTGGCAACAGAGAGAGAGAGAGAAAGAGAGGGGGGGGGGGGGGGGGGGTTGAGGCTGGCCGCTAACATTGTACAAGGAGAGTCCATCATTCAGCTCCCATATGCCCAAATACGGGCAACGTGAGAGCAAGAAAGTGCGTGAGTGAGTGTGAGAGAGGCAGAGAGGGGGGGGTCAAAGCTGAAAGAAGAGATAGAAAATAAGATGAATTTGTGTGTGTGTGTGTGGGGGGAGGTGAAGGGGGGGACCTTGAGACTGAGAATTTAGAGGTTGAAGGTGAGAATACAGCGAGAGGTAGAAACATTTTTTTTTAGGGCCTGTCAGTTGAAAAACACGGCGTACATCTGTTTGCCCCGTGCTTGTTCTGTATTCTGGTGACATCACTGCAGAGGCCGGGCCCGCAATAGTAAAGGTGAGGAAAAAAAACAAAAAAACACACCGTGATGCCGGTTCGGGTGTCAGATTTCAGACCTCCGTTGCAGCTACGAACAAAGAATGCAATGCATATCATGTGTGGATGGGGATGCTGAGAGGAGGCGGGGGGGAGGGGATAAAATCTCTAAACATGTTGCTCCCATGGGGTCGCACAACCGCGCATGATCCGGAAAAGCCGTCTCGGGTTATGGGAATTTTGAAGTAGAGAAAGCTGAGAAAAAAAGAAGAAAAAAGTAGAGAGATGAGGAAAAAAAGAAAGAAAGACAGACTAAAGGAAGACGTCAGGAGGAGGAAGCGTAACAGGAATATAAATAGAAAGCGCCTGAGATGTGGCTCTTGCTATATATGGAGATGGCTGTGTGTTCTCGGACCGGTCGGCAGTTTACGTCCGCGTTGTCATCGGCGCCGGTCGGGAGGCGTCGCTCAAAACTGAGATCAGGCCCGAGGAATGTCGCGCACCGCTTTGCCACACTTGAACTTAAGCAACTTGACGTCAGTCAAGTGGAAGATGGCCATTTTGATAGCACGAGGCAAGGTGGGGAGGCACAGAGGGGGGAGCCGGGTGTGGGGGGGGCAAAGTGCAGCAAAAGAGCGTCTCATTTAGTCATTAAACAGCCAAAACTAATAAAACCTGCACATTTTCTACATTGTGGAATTTGGAAAGCAGCAGGTTGAGGGAAGGTCTCGCAGCCAACGAGTCCCTGATCATTCAAAGATTCAGGATTTCAGGGAGTGTTCAGTGACTCTTTTTTTTAAGCAAAATACTATGAGGATAAAAAACAATAAACAAAACATGAATAGTTATAGTATAGAAGACTAATGAATGATAACAAACAAACAAATGTATGAAAGATTTTTAAATTATGCAAGCACAATGAAACCAAAAAAAAGGGAAACTCGTGCAACGGGGTCTTACTCTATTTCAATAGTGGGGAAAAAAACATTTTTCCTTTGTTCTCAGTTCAGCGGTATTAAAGTCCGCACATTCGATTAAAAATAGCCATAAATCCCCCCTAATGACCGCGCCACGGCGCAATGTGGTACTAAGCACACTGACATCACGCTAAATCGCTTAACTCTCGATGTGGACACCTGTCAGCGGAGCTCATTTTCAGTCCGGCGCCCCTAGAGGCCAAAACTCGGCCGCGAGTCAGAACACTCGCTTTTGGCACTTGAAAATTCTTTTCCCGTCTCCCTCCCAGTCCCACCGGAGCTGACTGTCTACAAGCGTACCACCCGACCGCCAAAGGCGACTTTTTCACCTCCCGTCCTCCAAGCGACGGAGGCCAATCTGTCCTACTCCAACAAGATGAAACCACACAAGAGGAAGAACGAAGAAAAAAAGAACGGAAGGTGAGGATGAGCAATGCAAACAGTAACAGCGTGATGAGAGAGGGATGTTTGTGTTGTCAGCGAGTCTTTCAGGCCTACCTGTTTAGAAGTGAGCTTTATCAAGGAGCCTTCGTAGCCCTGAAACAAGCACAGAAGACGTCAAGAAGGAGAAGAAAGACAACGGCCCGAAGGTGATGCGGATACACATTCTGCTCGTGACAAACTGAGCTCCACATCCATCGAGTGAAACGTCTTTACTGTGTCACCGCTGACTAGATGAATGGTTTTTAGGAGTTAAAGAGCCCTTATGAAAACCATATGCACCAGACGTTGCGTCTAACCTGACAAAATCAAAGATTTACTGCGCACACGATAAAAAGCCTTTGCTCGGAGCAGCGTGGGCAGCGTCTGCCAGAGATTAGGTGCAGAGCCAGCGTGGCGTTATTCACTCCAACCGCATCACAAGGAGCTTCTACGTGCAGTCACTAGAACCAAACTCTAGGGCCCTTTGTGCTCCTGACAACGTCAGGTGTCTGAGGTGAAGCAAACAGGTTTGTTTTTGCATCGCAGGCGGTAGGCCAATTTTCCATGAGACACACGCCGGCGGATCAAGATGTGATTGAACCTCGGCTTTCGGAACACCGACACTCGAACCTCGCGGGAGAGTTTTCCATTGCCGCTTATTTCATCACCATTAATGGAGGTCCCATTGACTGCTGGAAAGAAAAGCTGCTAAGAATAGCCGCAGCCCCGCCGTTTAAAACATACAAACATACCTTAAATGGTCTGAACAGGAGATAGAGCTCCCGCGGCTTAATATCCAGTGGAAGCCCGCTGACAAATAGCGTTCGGACCTGGGGAAGACAAGAAAGAGATCACGTATTTTTCATTAACTTCCACTGGTTACAAATAGCTTTACAGCACTTGACTGTAACTAAGCTGAGGGGGAGAATGACACAGGACCCGAGAGAAACAGTTCTTTCACTAAAAGACAGACTTTCGCAATACTGATAGGGACGTCTTTCAGCCTTGCAAACACTCAATCAGGCGCACACACCTTTTCTACAGTGAGTACATTGTATTCTCCTGTGTGATCTACGGCCTTGATGCGTTTTACGGCAACCCTCCCCTCGCAGCGCTGGCCTCTGTTTTACATTTGAACTTTTCAACTCGCAACTTAAGCTGGCATTGCGGGGGAATTGCAATGTTTACGCTCGCGAGGAGAGACTAAAGGGAAAATGTAGCGGCGGTGGTCCGTGCCTTATGGAGTAGGTGAGGTGGGAAACACGACAGCCGTTTTCGACGGTAAAACTTACTTTTTCAGTGTTTACTTCTGTTTTCCACCTCAAAGTCGACCCTCAAAGAGGAAACACTTGAAGATGAGCTCCTCTGTCATACTTCATGTGCTCAGAAAAGGGATAAAATTTGGTGTACGAGAGAACAACTAAATCACTGTGTACTAGAATGTATTTGAGCAACATATATCGGAAGGCCTGCAATTCTAAAAAGGTAAAATGAAGACTCTGCTTCCCCAAAAAGGGTGTTAATATTTAAAAAGGAAGGAGTAAGCATGAAGATTGCAGGCAGTTAGCTTAGCAAAAAAATAGAGAATAGGGAAACCACTAGCTCGACTCCGTCCTGGGGTAACAAGCACCTTTTAAAAATGGTCATCAGCTTGTTTGTTTAATCTGAACACAGAGAAGTAGCAACGATACGTGAAATAAGACTATCGGGCTGCCGTGTCTGAAACAAGCTTGTGTGCAGTAGTTCTTTCAACACATATTTGCAGACAGGTAGCACCAATTGCTACATTAAGTAAACACGGACACATCGCAGCACTACAGAACTCGCTCAGGTGTTGAGAGGTCCTGTCAAGGCCAACGACGATCTCGGAGGCGAATGAACAGAACGAAACCACTTGTAAATGTGTCTGAACTGAAGCGGGTCAGTGTGGTTGTTAATTCGGGTATTTCTAAAAATAAGCTACAACATCTGGGTGCTATTAACACGAAAGCATGTGCATTCAACCTCTCTGAAGCTTTGAAGAACTAAAATGACCAAAAAGGTCTGACCAAGAAAACATTACACCATTTTTGACACTTTCATTAAATCATTATTAGGCACTAATAGCACCTCATAGGTGATCACCTAATTAAATTCAGTTCGGTAGAAGAAATTGCTTTTGGGCACGGGAGAGTGAAACAATAGACCGTGAGCATCAAACCGACGGCCAACAGCTCCACCCTAGACACACCCGCATCAATAATGTGATAGTGGACTTCAGTGTGTAATTGAATTATTTATTCAATATTCCGATTCTATTCAAGGCCGAATGGCGAATGGAGCTACAGGAATGCTTTTACGCGGCGTGGATGCACCGCTCCCACATTCATTAGGTAGCGGATTCACAACTCCCGAGGACAAAGAAACTGCTGAACTAACACTACAACTCATGCCCTCGTGAAACCTGATAGGCACCACTGATGCCTAAGGCGGAGCAACGCACAAACAAAGGAGCTTGGCAACTGGGGGGGGAGGGGGGTCGGCGATGGCTGGCGAGTGCCAAACCGGGCCATCCCGCTGCAACGTCTCACCTCGGCGACTTTCTCACCTTCGCTCTTATCTTATCTGAGTCGGGTTGAACCCTGCGGGGCTGTCACTGGCCTCTGTCTCTGGCACGTCTGTTTAAAGGAACTCTTTCAGAGGGTCTCCTTATATGGAGATACACGGGAACAAAGAGTGTCAGTCGGACGCCATGCGAGGGCAGCACTTAGGGGGATAAATCAGACGGCGTGGCAGTGGAAACAGAAGACGTCATGAAATCACTAAGGTTGTTATTCGCCGTAGACAACTAATTCACACACAGACACACACACACAAAGGCATTACCCTTCAAATCTCTGGTCTATCGTTTGGGCGAGCACATGAAAAAGTGATCGCCCTTAACTTGACCCGATTGAGCTTGTCTACTACTTGATTAAGCGGTTATTTTTCCCCCGAAGAAAATAGAAAAATAGAAAAAAAATTCAAAATGGTTTTCGGAATGAGGAAGTTAAAGGGCCTAAAACTGAAGGTTTGGAATGTCTCATAAGGACTTGAAGCTGCACATGAGCACAAAATGACAATTGAGTAAATGTTTTGGCCCTGACTTTTTCAAATAATACAAAACAGGGTATTTAGATTATAATCATGCAGATTGCAGCACTTCCTCAAATTGTACCCTTAAACAGAGAGTTGGCGCACATCTCAATCAAATTCCACCGTCCAGCTCTCCCTCCCTCGCCAAAGTATCCGAGATCCCATATTTGATTCTAACTCCTATCCGGTCACCAGGCCAACAGAAACCTGAGAGCTGTGTGTGCCGCACGGGTCCGGACAAACGCACACACACACACAACAACAAGTCTTCCACACAGAGAACAATGGTACATTCTTGGCTGCGTCAAGCCTCTTTCCTGAGACTCCCTGACGTCAGCTGTTGTGATATATGATCGGCCGCGTTGTGTGTGAATTGAGTGATTCGCAGACGTGTGCGTCGACGCCGCCCTCCCGCACACATCTGCTGCTGATCACGGGTATCGCTCTTTGTTTACGTTTGCCTCCAGGATTTAAAAAAAAGGGGTGGTCGTAAACTCTTTGCGACCATCTAAAGTGGAACATCAAAATGTCACGACGTAGTAAACCCAAGGTCAAGCAGGAGGAGGTTGAGCCGATTCCGCCCGATTCGTGAAAAAAGGAAAAGAAGAAGAAAAGCAAAGATGCACCCTGTGCCGCCTCTTTATTGGGTTTTAGAAGCGTTGTTTTATTGGTTCCCAGTGAGTCACATACCTACATTTCCATAGTGCTGGGTGGCCCGCTGTGGGCCTTTGAATCATTGACCATTTATGGCGTGCTCACATGCTAGCACGAAGGGAAGGCTTCTATCAAAAACAGCAGCCGCTACCTACCGCCAGGCCAGCTGAGCACCTCACAGCCGGGCGTACCAGCGCAGTTCCCTGGCAACGCCTTCGCAGGGTACAGCGGCGTTTGGAGCCCCGGGCCGAAAGACATCACATCCTATTAAGGCCACTTCTGCAGCAAGTCCCATGGGATCAATGCACCCCTAATCAGTGATTCTCGACTCCACGAGCCGAGCATGAGGTCATCGCCTTATTGATACTCTATCGTCGCACCTTAAAGGGTTTGCTGCTGCCCCTCACCCCCCTCCCCGGGCTGGAGGAGGGAGGGGCGAGGGCTCTGTGAGGCATTATTGGTGATTGATCAAAACTGTTTCTAGAGCTGCTTTTTTCAATATTGTACTCACAAGAGTAATTTATGAGATTTGGGAATCGATGTGTTTTTATCAGCACTTATTTATTAATTATTATCTCAATTAATCCCTTTTGACGTATCAAAGTCCTGGTTTTTATCCATCCAACAGTTCAAAACCCTAAAATATCAATAACATAGAAGACTGAGAAAAGCTCACATTGAAGAAACTGTAACCAGAGAATAGTTTCTGCTATTAATGTTGAATATTTTCTCACAATCAGCTAATAAAATAATCAACCAATCATTTTTTCCCCACTGGGGACACAATGACATTGCTATTCCATCTTGGCAAGAAACACAATCTTTCCGACTATCATAAGAAAACAAACAGTCCAGCCGGGTTTTCAAAACCACTTCCTTTGGAAGTCAAAGGAACGTGCACTAATCCCCGGGTGACATGTACATGAGGTCAAAGCAGGAAGTCGGTCTGGGTGGTGACAACGAAACAATTTGCATAATAATTTTATGGTTCCCCTTGGTAATCACCTCCAAATGCGTCGGGCTGACCTGGAAGAAAAATGACGATTGTCTAACTGCTTGTGTGAAATGTCAGGAATTCATTTTTTTAACATATTACCATCACCAATAGAAACAATGGCTAAAAAAGGCCAAAAGTAAGAGCCATTTTAGCTCAATAATTTCTTTTTTTTTCTGGCCCAACTAATAAAAATGCAAAGCTTACTTAAACCCAGACCTTCCACCAAAACCCTCGTTCCGCTATCAAACGTGATGAAGCTTTAATTAAAGGAGCCAAAATTGACTCAATAACCCAAGCACAGGATGCAATTTGACAACCATCAAGAAACCTGCTCGATATGTCTAATTAAATGACCTTGCAACTTCCCTCCTCGCGTGTCGTTTCCATTCAGCCTGCGTCGTGGACTTATAAGACGCGTTGCACCTATTGCCTCATTACATTCTGCCGCACTCGGTGACTTTCTCAGATATTTGCTCCGACTTTAATTGAGTGCTTTTTTGACCGCTCGTTCTGGCCGAAACGAGGGACGCGACCTTGGTGCGACGGGAGATGATTACCGCGTGTTTCTCCCTCCCTTTTTGCGCGCGAGTGTGTATTTCACAGCCGAGTTAATAGATACAGGTTCCTTTGAGCCAGATGTGACAGGACACCGGCTCTAACCTTGAAGCCTCCAAAGAGACGGTACAGTAGCCCTTTGTGGAGCGAGCGTGTTCACGCCATTACCCGCGTACGAACCCAAAGCTCGGATCAACTTCTCCATTGGAAAACCCTCGCTGGCTGCTTTCAAATCCGCGCACAGGTCCCCCTCGCTGTGACCAAGCTCTATCTACCCATAAGCCCGCGGGGCATAAGTTGAGCTCTCGCGTCGGCTGAGCGCGCGCCTCGTCGAAGACAGTCTGGCTGAGAGACTCGCACTATTCTTCTGCTAGCCGAGTTGTCACTGCTCCGCGTTGACATCGTACTCCGTCATCCTCACAAGTCTGGGTTTTTTTTTTTTTTCACCGCTTCATCCCGTGTGCCGGAGAACGTGAAGAGTGACGGTCTGCAGGCCCCGAGAGGTGTCAG